CACTACTTGGAGGCACAATCATGGTGGACTGGAGTTAATCGATGGTTTACATGTGCTAAAAAGGTTTCACAACGTGGAATTTTAATCGGGCTATTACCAAGTTTGATAACATGGAAGCTTTGGGGATGTCGATGCAAGGCACGTATGGAAGGGAATCGAGAATCTGCAGAGGAGGTATGGTTTGCTATAAAGGCTTGGTTGCTTCTCCTTGCTAAAGATATAGTAAAAGTATCAAAGCTAAGCAACACAAACCATGAATTTCTCAAAGCTTTAGAGCTGCCTGTGGTTTCTTAGGTGAGTAAATCAATTCTTTTTGTTTCTTGGAGGAAACCTGTTATTGGTTGGGTAAAACACAATGTAGATGGGAGTTCTATTGGCAATTCGGGACCTTTTGGAGGTGGGGGAGTGATTAGGGATCATTATGGAAATTTGGTTGTTAGTTTATGTGTTAAATATGGTCATGGAAGCAACAATGAAGTGGAATTGCGTGCTGTCATTTTTGGGGTAGAGCTATGTAAAGAGATGGTTTTTCAAGGGGTTGAGATTGAGTGTGATTCAGCAGTAGTGGTAAACTGGTTCACACACAATTTATGTAAGATTTGGTACTTGTGGGATTACTGGGATGAGTTATTAAATTTGCTTAGCGGCATCAGTTTCACTATCTCTCATCAGTATAGAGAAGATAATAGAGCAGCAGATCTTCTAGCCAATGGCCTCATGATGAGATACATGCACTTAGACCAAATACCAAAACTATTAAGAGGTATTATTCATATGAACAAGCTTGGTTTTCCCAACATTAGGCAATAGTTGTGCGGTTGATGTGTTAATTTTTATTTGCTTGATTAGAGCTTTTATGGATTCTTGGCTATTATGTTGTTTTGTTGGATTGTTAACACAGTATTCCTCCGCCACAAGTGAGGGGTGAGGTGATTGAATAAATTTTTATTTCTGGTTAAAAAAAAAAGTGCATTGGATTCCTCCAACCATTGAAACTAATGTAGAAGAATTAATGCATATAATGGAAGAGAGATATAACTCAGTTTACTGGTTGAAAAAGTAAGATAAAGTAATATTGGCGACTAATGTAACTTATTATCGTGCTTCAGGCATTGAAATGGTCAAATGGTTTAATGAAGTTGCTGCAGTTGTGCTGGTTAAACTTTCAGCAGCAAATAAATCTCTTTCTGTGAAAAAACCAGGTTGTTTAGCTTGAGGCAACACACCTTCATTCCCCAACATCAATACTAGTAAAGACATGCTTGGCCTATCTCCTGGACAATGTTGAACGCATAACAGTCCCACATGAATTGATCGCTGCACTTCTGATAAATAGTCTGAGATGCCAAGGTAAGCATCAACTAATTCCAAAGATCTACCTTCTCTATAAAGCATCCATGCCTGCACTAATTGAACTCGTTTAAGAGGGCAGTTATTTGAATCCAAGTACCAAAAGGACTAACTTTGTTGCAGTGAACATAGAAATATATATTGTACTTACATGTCCAAGAAGGTTATTGTGATGATCACTGTAAGAAAATCCTCTGTTTCTTTTTCCTCTCACAATCTCAAGCACTAGAACACCAAAGCTAAATATATCTGATTTTACTAAGAATAGGCCATCTATTGCGTATTCTGGTGACATATAACCGCTACATGGAAAAAATTGCTAGGAAATTAAGTGGCTGGGCAATCAATAGAAGAGTATTTCTTATATTATGGCATTGAGATTCTTACTACGTTCCAACTACTCGACTTTTTATATTAAACTCAGACCAAGAAGAACCATTCCCGTCAACAGTGACAAACTTACTTCGAGAATCTCTCTTTTTCTTCCTTTTAGTTCTGCAAAATTTTATGTGCAAATGAAAAATGGATGGTTTCTTAGTGATGAAACAAACCATCAAAGTGAGGAGCACACAGATCATCTTTAAAGGAAAATAAGACTACAATAAACATATGTTGAATTATAAAAAGATTTGTGTTTATTGAATTCTTACCTAGTTCAGAAGAAGCCATTCTAATGTAGATATCTTCTCCGTCTTCAGATAGTTTTTCTATGTCAATTAGTTCTTCAAACCAAAGTAGGCATCCACTTCCCCCTATGCTTATATCTAAGTTAGTGTAAGCTGTACAAGAGCAATTCTTCAAGCACACTACCTTGCATTCCTCAAGTGTCTTACTCTCGTTAAATCTGGAATATCGTGTGTCTGGTAACTTAATACCAGAATATTTGAGAAATACATCTCCATTTGTACAAGTTAAGGGAGTTCTGCGAACGCACCCATTCGACCAATTTGTCCTGTTCCACCCATGTGGATCTTTAGGCAAAAATCTATCTAAACATTCACAGACCGGAGAATTTATAACATTGTAACTACCATATGCACCACACAATCTATACGTGTCACAATTATCTGTTGGAACAGTAATGTATGCCACCTTCCCTAGCTTCGTATCAACCCAGCTCAAGAGCTGTGAAATAGCGCCCACATGGCTCTCACTCAATGTAACCCTTGAAATTATTGATCTGCTAAGGAACTCATAAGTAACGTATGCCTCATTTTTGTTTAGAACTACTTCCACAAGTAAAAAGGGTTTTTTCCTGAAGTTTGGTGTCCCACCAAATTGGATTCCATTCCAAGTTCCAGTTTTGAAAAACACATCCGAACCTCTTTCCAAGACAAGTTGTGGATAACCAATGGGATCAAAGTGATATGTAAAATCTCCCAAAGACGGATCATCATTGCTCTTCCATGATGAGAGATATACTTCATGTCCTGCTCTAAAGTTCCAACCAAACTTCATTCCTGGGAACATTGTATCAGTCGGATAATTAAAACTCTTCCAGATGAAATTCTCGGGATCATCATCATTTGTTTCTTGCACAACAAGTTTTCTTGAGTCGAGCAATTTTGCAGCTGGAGTTTTCACAGGTCGTGATGTGTTAGAAGACCATATGATGACACCA